CGGGATAAAGTAAAATATTGAGGGATCATGGGTGGGAGAGCATCCTCCAGCGGGTTTTCAGAGATGTGGCGGAAGGTCGATATGATGGAGCTGGTGTCAGTGGTGTCGCGGTCTTTAGAGTGCAGTGAGGGTGAGATAGAGACTCAGACGAGATGTGAAATAGGGAAGAGAAGGAAGAGACGGAGAATAAGGGGAGAAACTTAGGCTGCTCGTGATATTGGTAGAAAACGTTTCAGGCATTATGTTGTTCGTGTAAAAGGGTCGGGATGTTTGGAGACTCATGGGCAGAATGTGAATTACACTTTGCGGCCACGACTCCGACTCGAATCGAAACATCCATGGTACAGAACTTCCAAAAAAATAAAAACTTGACGAATCACTATTTCCGAGCCCTTCACTTTGCAGCATTCGTCAAATTTCTTTTTTTTTTTATAAAAAAAACCCATTATATTGCTATGTGCTACTCTAATTGATATCGAACGCATCAAACTGAGAGTTTTTTTTTTCTTTTTTTTCTTTTAAAAGGAAGCAGCCTAAACACTTTGACAAAAGAATAACTCTTCCAGTAAACAGTAGCACCCTTAGCGTGAGCCTTTTTTGTTCTTTTAAAGGAAAGCAACTCAAACAAGAACATGATGATGATCCCTTCCCATAACAGCACCTTCCTCAAGCTTCACCATGCAATCAATGCTTCCAACTTGAAAGTCTCTATATGCGGGGCGAATCCGATCTAACAAAACAATAGATTCAAAAGCACCAAAACAAAACCTAGCCAATTCAATCCTCACTGCCGCTCACTCCCTCCCCCAGTCCCAACATCTCAACCAGGGCACTATAAACCCCAGTCAGAATCGTATTCTCCTCCTCTCTCGCATCATCAACCTCAACATATCCAGTGCTTCCCCTAGAGAACACCATCTGCAGTCCACTAGCCCTCAGTTCCTTTGTACCATACTTATACCTCGGCCACGTCTTCATATCAGCCGTGTTTGGGGTTCCGTTGGCTACAAAGGCTGCCAAACGGGAGGCCATCTCATAAGCAAGCTTATCATCGTTACGTCCCTCTAGGTACAGAAAATTCAGCAAGTCTTGCTCGTCGTCGACTTCAGAGACCTTTCTCTCATCCAACCGGTAACTCCACACGCCCTTTGACATGTCGAAAGCCTTAGTGATCCAGTTTTGCGCGACAGCGCGACGAACAACCGTTGACTTGAGATCTTTGACTAACGTCATGTTGCTGTCACCTGTGGGGTAAAGAATTTGCAGCAGCTGGGTGTCCGTCATCTTGTAGATGTCAATGTTCTTGCCAACCCGACGAGAAACAGTGTCCACAACCGCAGTATCGGTGGATGAGTCGATGTACCCTGTGATGAGGGGAAACTGGCGGGATCGGCTGGCTTTGACGAGGTCATAGGGGTGCGCTTTCAGGATGCCACTTTCAATAAGTGAGCTGGGTGAGGTGGCAGGGACAGAGCGAGTGTAGTTCATGACCGATTGCAAGGTTGTAAATGGGAGCTCGCGGAGGAAGCGCATGCCATTTGCGTCAGTGCAGTTGAGCCTTTTAAGGATATTGTGATAGGGCGACTTGAAAGAAACTGGAAGAGGAAGACTGAGGGAGAGAGAAACAGCACGGTGAAAGAGGTTTTTCGAAAGGTAAGATCGAGAATCTGGGTTCCAAAGGAGATGGGTCAAAACCGACATTGCGCCAGAATCATGGCCCATGAGAGTGACCCGTCGAGCGTCCCCGCCAAAGCGGTGGATGTTGGCTTCGATCCAATGGAGTGCAACCCTTTGATCCAGGAACCCCAGATTTTTCTCTTTCTGGTCAAGTTCTTCGATGTCCAAGAATCCCAGCAAGCCAAGACGATACTGAATGGACACCGCCAGAATTGGATTGCCCTCTTCAGATGCCACCTTCACAAACTTTTCCAAGGGGTATTGCACCGCGCCACCAGTCACCATGTCTCCTCCATGAATGAAAACCATGACGGGAAGCAAGCTCTCTTCTGACCTGAACCTGTAATCCGACACTGCAGGGCGGAATATGTTCAACGTGAGGCAGTCTTCCGACTCACGCCAATCAATGGGGTTCTTGAGGCCTAATGGCTGGGGACAAACGGGTCCAAAGGTGTGAGCATCGTGAACAGAGCGAGATTCCGGGCTGGCGAAAAGTGCTTTTTGTGATGGAAGCATCTCCGGCTGAAACGGCTGAGCATGAAAGAAATTTACCTCGGGGATGCTACGCTTGTAATTCTGGTGCTGATCGGTATTCGGGTGAACTGGATGGAATGGCTGATTCTGGACCTTCTCAACGACGGGCTCCGGGGCCGAATGTTGCGTTTCCTTTGGGGCCTCGACGGCCAAGAGAGACTGCACCGGCTGAGAAAGCCCCAGCTGCTAGATTAGACCATAATTCCGTTGCTGAGACAGAGGTGACTTACCTGGCTAGGACTTTGAGATGTCGCAGACTCAACGAACTTGATCTTGATGCTCGGGGTCAGCATTGAGGGCTCCGACGACGCCTCCGATTCCGATTCCGATTCCGAGTCATCCTTCCAGATGTTCTCCAAAATATCCCCAAGCAGGGTGGTGGCTGGCGATGCTGAACTGACGATATTCGCTACGGGAGTCGTGGTTGAAGAGAGTGACACATTCTCAATGGATGCCATGTTGGTGGCGATCTTCTTCAACGTTTCAATCCGCTTGTCTGCTGGAGGAGCAGGGGACAGGTTGTCCTCCTCCAACCTTAACGCAGGCGTATCATTTCCCAACACGCTCTTTTCCTTCAATTTGTCGTTCACAAAGTAGTGGCGCCCATTATATTCGACAATCCTGTTGTAAGCTACCCGCTCTTTATCTCTTTCCTCCTGTTCCTTCTGTGTGAGCAACGGCTGTGGGGCCCGGAAGCGAAGTTCATTTATCGGAGGTTGAGCATAAGGAATAGCAAAGAAGTGATGCTGTTTGTCCACAATATTCGGTTTGTATTGTCCATAGGGAGTGTCAACGAGGGGGGTGTGTGTCGTCGAAGACGAAAAATGAGGGGCTGCAAAGATGGAAGAAGAGAGGATAGCGAGGAGAATGGCGAGGAGACGCGGTAAAAAGTAGTTGGCCACCATTTCGACTGTTGATGATGAAAGGCCAATACAAATTGTAACTGGTAGATAGGATGAGTTTTATACTACTGAATAGGAACGCAGACGAGTTAACTTGTTTGATCTTAGGAGAATTGCCCAGCAAGATGGCTAACGATGGTTGAGAACCGTGCTTTGCGCTCCATTCATCCTGAAGAAGCAAGAAGCACAAAGAAGAAACAAGAGAGCCAGAAGATGACCTAATTCCAGCCAGATATGATCGCGCAAGAAGTAGAGTATGTTAGCAGAGAGAGAGAGGCCTTCTCGCAGTTCATGTTAGGATGCAGCGGAAATGCAGGGCGATCCGCTCTTGACGCTGCTCTACTCTCCACTGAAGGAAAACTTATGTGCATACAACAGTAATCGAACCTCGTTTACAAGCGCTTAGAAACGTTGAGAATCAATTTCTTGTCATGTTGGGTTTCCACATCAACCCTCATGGGTAAATCTTGAAAGTCGGGTAATTTCTGGCGTTCAATGGCGCTGTGGCACGGTTACACTCAACGAGAATGTCACTCCCACCAGCTCTAGACCGCGGTCCTGGGGCTAACGTGATTCTTCTTACTTAAGTAGACAGTTACGGCGCTGCAGAAATTCAAGTTGGCATTCATGGAACAATTCTCCGGTCCGTATTTTCCATCACCTTACGACGTTAACCTAACATCATTTAGGAATAGCTTTGACATTCCCGAGGGGAATAAATAAGAAGTCAGAAGCTGGACACGCAGTCATGGCGTCCACGATTAACCTAATCCCATATTTCACGAAGAGTGAGAAGTTGCAATTACATGGCGTGGTGAACAACCTAGAACACCCATAGTGCACGGTGAAATGCGCAATTACGATTGATTGATTGATTGATATCATTTAAGCGCATGCATTCCTTTGGGATATGGCGCGTCAATTACTCTACAGCCTCCACCCTCCCCCTTCCCTTTAATTCTGCTTCTTACAAGCCTTCTGCATACATAGAATTTCGTCCATTGTCAACCCTATTTCTCGCCGGCCCTACGCTCTGGCGATGGCCGCCGTTTGAGTTGTGCTAGCACGCTGCTAAGCATGTTCTCTCCTCTTTTTTTTTTTTTCATTATGCAATTACAATATTGATTGATTGATTGATTGAATTCATTTTGGCGCATGCGTCCCGTAGGGATATGGTGCGACAACTACTCTCCAAACCTCCTCCCTCCCCCACCCCATTGCTTCCATTACATCGGTTTATTCCATACATTGGTTTCGTCCATTTTCAACCCTTGTTCTCGCCATCCCTTCGCCCTGGCGAGGGATGCCATTTGAGTTGAGCTCTAGTTCCGGCTCCTTCTCTCCTCTTTCACCTCATATTAATAAGCATCCCCTCACTCTCTGTCTGCTACTCCCCCGCGCCTGCCTCCCTCCCCTCTTGCTCCTCAGTTTCCTCCCACCCTCACTGTTCAAATCTTTCTTCCTCGCATCGGTCCTTTTCCTCCTCATGGTATACCTTCCCAACATCTGTGACTTCAAGGAATTCGAGGATGGTTGTTGTTGCCTTTGGCTCTGGGAACACATGAGAGAGTGCATGAGTCTTTGTAAGCCCTATTCGTCCGAGGTCTTTCCATAACTTCTCCTGTTGTCTCCTCCAGTGCCTGCATTCCTTAAAGAGATGATCGCGGTTTTGTCGAGGGGCTCCACACCACCAGTACTCTTCGCTCTCTGCTCTCATGACCCTTTTCAGGTGCACTACGGTTATGCCAGTGTTGGTGGCAAACCTGAAGTACCTGCGTGCAAGGCTTTTGCGGGCTATCATAGCTGTTTGGTCAGGAAGTTACAATATTTACGTGACCATGCATTTAATGGTTCATATATAAAAAAAACATTTATTACATATCATCTGGTCCCTTAGCTCAGTTGGTTAGAGCGTGGTGCTAATATCGGGGATGATTTACTGCAATCTAGTTGATATAGTAACGCCAAGGTCGCAGGTTCGACCCCTGCAGGGACCAATTTTTTTTATTTTTAATTTTTTTTTCAATTCTATTCAATTTTTTTTTGGGTTTTTGGTGAATCGTCAAACCGTGTGAATAAAAAATATTCGAGTGGTTGCGGAAATACAACCTCATTTGTCTACCGATGATCGCCAGCAGTATCAATCTTGAGGATGACAATGAAGACACCGCGCTGCTTCAACCTTCAAGAACTTTCTTGGGGAACTATAGCGAGATGGGGTCAAGCAGGCATCTGCAGAGCGGTGATTAGATTTACAGCGGGAAAGTATATGTAAGCTTTTTATTTCATCTCATGTTAGTTATAGGCGGATGATCCCCAACTGTCCACGTCCGGAACACAACAGTGATCACCGTCAGTTGTGATACTGTGACATCCGGTGATACTGCTCATAAGGCTGGCATCGCTTAGATATCGGTAGAAGAAAATTGGAACTGGTTGGATACTCTGTAATTTGCTACTCCCCGTGTTTTCAAGCTCGAGTTCCATGGTTGAAAACATGGGATGTCTGACTCGGAGTTAGCTCGCATCAAGTCTCACTCGAGTCCACCGACTCGAACCACAGAATAATCTTAAATCGGTCCATTCTTCAACCACGGAATAATGCGTGTAGTTACCTAAATGCAAGGTTAAAGGTGGTCTGATTATTCTCTATCATGATCGACACCTCGCTGGATGCCGGTACCCCTTGCATACCCGAAGAGAACGTGTCTTTCGCGGAAACATCCAAGTACTTTGTACGTCTTACTAAGTATCATCAGCTTCAGCTTGTAAGAACTGTTTTACTTGAACCTGCATCACACTTACATCTGTCGTGTTCCCCGGAGCTCCGAGTCGAGGTAAAACAATAGAAGTTTAGCCAAGTCGGTGTTGACGGCCGAACTGGTCGGTCCTGATAACCAGTTCCGACAATATGGTCTTGAAGGTGTTCGAGGATGCAAACGGGTTCAGCTGAACATCGGTTGGTCAGCTTGCACGTTGAACCAAATGGGTGAACGTTCTGGAGCGCGGCGCTGATATAAACCCATCATGATGGGTGTTTCGTCTCTGTAGGTTGACATTGCGAGAATCATGATGCCCATAAGGAGGATCACCTCACGCGCCCGAGAGCTTATTTTGCAAACTTATTTAGCAAGCATAAGAGGCACTAGAGTACATGTAGTATATTGTGGGACGTTGGGTTAGGCACCCAGCTATGATCGTCGATGGTGCGTGTGGTGACAGTTGGCGAGAACGGGGGGCGAGAGCGGATTGGCGGGACGCGCGAACGAGTGTATTGATAGAACGGTTACTTGAAGCGATAATCAACCAAACCATTGCAACGGTTGTTCTGGTACTTGGGTTGTATTTCCCTCACTTCACGAAGGAAGTTCTTTGGGATTCTAAACGTGAGTAAGTTGGCCTATTTTGTGCGATGAATCCAGCTTCGAGTGTCACTCACCAAGACACTCCGACCTCCTCTCATTTTCCAATGGTTCCCAGGGTTCTTGTACTCGCCTGCGCCTGATCCACCTTTTGACTACGGGTTCCTACATACAGGCGGGGGACACAGGATGACTGACCGCCCGAATTGTGCTAACCCGGGGCGCAAGGGCGCCGTCAGCCTTGATATCACCGTTTCAGCACATTGTTCACATGTAACCCACTGAACTTTAGACGAAGCGACATGGAATTTTGGAAGACACCAACCACCAACGCTTTTACAATACAGAGCTGACTCGAAAGCAAGTACAAAAAAACAAAATCGAGAAACCACCCATTCAAACTTGAAACCAATCCAACCATTTGTAACCTCAATCCCCAATAGCAAACGCCATACTCAACAAAGTAGATATCCCACTCGCTACATTCCGAGTCCCTTCGCGCGGTCGTAACTTGACACCCCTAGCCGGAATCAACCACAGTTCACCATCCAGTTTTCGGCTTTACTGCAATGCCAGCAACGCGGACTGGACTCCTTCTTGGACTCTTTTCTCCCTCTCCCCCGGAGTTGGCCCATAGCCGGGAGTGTATGCTTCTGAATTCGCCGAACCATTGGCGGAGATTGTGGCGGGTTGCGATCCGGTGGTGGTTGTGGTAGTATTCTGTGTTTGGGAAGGCATTCTGGGATGTTAAAAGCGTATAGCTATCCCAAAGTATATATGTTAACGCAATGATTCTTTAAGGGCTCGGCTGGGGGTGTTTGGAAGGCTGACTTTCCAGGTTTCCACGCGGGAAGATGGCTGTGTTCTGAATTTTTCAACTTTCGAGTTGGACTCGTCGTAAAAGGGCGGTTTGGAGTAGGAACAAATGGAAGCTTGAGGGGAAATTGAGGTTGGGGTAATGATATCGTTGGGTGCCAGCGGGTGGATTTATATCTTCATCATGGACTGGAATAATGAACCTCCTATGGTCGGTGTCTGATCACATATCCAGAGAAATCCTGTCCTCATGGTGTTGAGACCGTGATACAATCCGAGGCGGCAAGGCTCGACACATGAGTAACCTATAATACGAGCACGATGTTGTAACAATTGACAACCCGTACAACTTTGCGACTCTGCAACGGAGTGCCAAGTACAAGATAAAGAGTCCCCAGAGTCAAGCCCAGATCAGGGCGGGTAGGAAATCGTTGTGGTCGAGACTCGAGGCGCTCCACCATGCCCAGAATGCTTATCAACTGGTAATTGAGTTTCATCTAACATGAATTGACTTTTCAAGCTTGATTTGGAGCTTTCCAACAAACAGTAGACAAAGTATCCTGTTTCCCGCCACCTCAACCGTGAGCACCACCGTCAGGTGATATCACATGGAACCTACCATTAAATTCCAATCATCTCTCTTTTCACGGGTATGTTTTCATACGGGGACCCGTGCTTCAACAGGGACATGTGGTTACATTGTGCAAATATACTCCGTCCGTAACCATCCTCTAGGCCATTATGACTCCATGACTTCTTGAGTTCCCTGACACCCCGATCCCCAGGCCAGCTGAAGTAAAGTTTGAACTCAATTCAAACTACCAATCGCCATACCATCAACATGTTAAAAATATACAATTAGAGGTCGATCACCTTTTTTGCGGTCGACAAAGAGCCAGGTCCATGTTGCGGGGCTGGTGGGTATCATCTGACCTTCGTGACATACCGCTGTAATTCATCTTATCGCGACATGTTACATGTATGGAATAACTAGCGGTCGGGAGGGTGCCTACAAGCGTTCGGTCAATTACCGAAAAGAATATATCCGGGGCCGTCATATGTCCAATAGTTTGGTTTATTATCAAGCGTGGTGGGAAATAGCAGCTGAAGATGTGAGTGCATCTGATCGGCCAAGACCGTTTGGGGTCTCCACTGACTAGAATATGCTTGCAATTAGTTTTACAATGTACGATTCCGCTTGTTGACAGGAATCAGCTTACGTGGGGCCGCTCCGCGGGGAAGCAACCCACAGATATCCTGAAATATCTGAACTATTTCTAGGCAAATACACGTTTACGTCCCCAGTACATGCCGACTGGTATTCGACTCTATTTGCTGAACCACTTTTAGATGGCGTATCATGGTAAATTGTAGGGGTGAGAGCCAGTGACGCACGTCCGCAACGGTATGACCAGTCCTTGAGTCTGTAATTTCGTTTCGGACTCCGGTGTGTGGGGATTTAAGGCACTGGTCTGGTCCGCCATACGTAGGGCTACAGGCTGTCACGGATGTATAATGGCTTGTTTTAAGTTTCCTACGGGAGGCTGCCTACACAATCAAAGTGCGCACGAATACATCGCTCCTTCCACACCCATAGCGTTGTAAGCCACACGCCATCAAGCTTACATTGTTTCAATAGCGATACAACATATCTTTGAGAGGATCAATGAAAAAAAAGCGACCATTCTGCTGACACCACATACAGTGAATAATCGAGTGCTGCGATGTGATTTCATCACCTCTAGAATCTCTGGTCTCTCTCCTGCGATCTTAGAAGCTGTTCAGATGGGATAGGATAATGCTTATATCGGTTGATATATTGATGACGCACTGTCTATTCACCACCTGAGTCAGTCCATAATGATCTCATCGCAACTTCATGATTTGAAAACGGTGGGCGCATCTGGCCCAAATTTCCGTTGGACATCATTATGGGGATCCGCCTTCCGCTTGGTGATGAAAGGCTGTCACGTCATGTTCATGGCCGTGTGCAAAAAGGAGATAGAAAGTGTATTCACCCCCTGTGCGGGTGTACAGTGGTGTGGGAAATCAGGTTGCCTGCACCCCCGACGAGCTTAGAACGAAATGCAACATAAATCAGATGAGAGAACTGACAAATACATTATCGTTTCGTTATACTGTCAGGAGAATGTGTACAATCTTAATTCTCCCCAGGACGAGAGATTTGAAAAGATGATTTGAGTTGGGTTCCTATCATAGATAGCTCCGCTGCTGTAAAAGCACCACCTTAGCCACATCAGGTTCTTGAAGGCGCGTTTCCCGACGCTGTATTCAGAGGAGGAGGACTTACAAACGCTGTTACGCCGTTGGAGACTCGAAAATCCGCTGCAAATCAACATCCCCTCATCAGCATTGCCCCACCGCCGGAAACCAGTGCGAACTGCCTAAGGGCCTTGCGATGGGAGCTCAGTCCCTCTCCGGCTATGCATCCGGAGCGGTAACTAGCCTCAGCCAATTATCCAGAGCAGTGCACTTATTCGTTGGTAGCTACAGTTAAGCATGTTCGATTCCATACCATCACGGTTGACCCGTTTCGACTTCTCCAACCACAACACTCTACATAGATTAGATATTGGCAAGTGCTACAAGTCACTTCCAGGATATCGCAATACTTGACGTCGCCGCATTCAGAAACGCTACACTGCGCTTCCCATCGATGTCGCTCTTGAGATCGGGATCCACGTTGACATGTCGCTCTTTCGGATACATACGCCTGCGGTCAACATATCCTAACATCTCATAACGGTCTCGAAAGAGGAGAAATACTGAATCAACATCATATCTACCTACCCGGCACG